AATCTTTTATAGAACCTACATGATTAACTTTTCTTCTAATAATAAAAAAAACTCTAAATAAAAACTATTATTCCTACAAATATTAGAGTAGTCTCCCTTGACAGTTTCTATTCGAATGTATTTTGTGTTAATTTTCGTTATGAAATACAGTTGACTTTTTAAATAAATTATATAAGAAAACAATCTATCTCTGTGTATATTTATTTTAAAAAAATATTATTACAATAATTAGAATAGGTGTTACTGGTTAAATAGCAATTATTCTCATTCTAAATCTTTGGCTATCGAGTTTCATGGGTTTTTAAATTTAAGATTATAAACACATTGGCTTGACGAAAATGATTATATACACTTAAATACATACTAAAATTTACTTTTGTCAATAAACCTACACTATTTTATGCACACATACAAAAAAGAATATTTTAGCGGCAGTTACAACGTCAAAAAAAAAAGGAAACTCCTTTATACTGAATAGTTCTACGTAACAACAAAAATGTAAAAATACATAGTCCTAGAGCACACTAACACATACATATATACATACGAAGATATGTGTGTGTGTAAGTAGGATGTGAGGTGGGTAGATAGGCGGGGTGGAAGGAAAGCAGTTTGGCAGGAATAACGGTAGGTAGGAAAGTAGGTAGGCAGGCAGCAGCGCAGGCAGGTTAGTAGATAGGTAGGTACGTAGGCAGGGAGTTAGGTATGTAGGTAGGTGGGCGTAGGTAGGAAGGCGCCTCACTCGGTATAGTGAGCGATTATAGTAGCCCATCATATTCATAGCGTTTCGCAATTATTAAAACGAACAAAGGTACCATAGTACTCACGGGAAAACCCGGGGAGCTAAATGGAACCCTGCCAGGGCGCCACCAAATCGAATTTTTTTTCGTAGAAACCACCACAGTGGTATTAGCATTAACTTCTCAAATTTGAATGACAAACGAATGAAATCTTTGATAATGCTTAAACAAACAAACCCACATATTCGTTTTTGGGGCGCGGGTTTGTCCACACTGCCGCCTAGACGCACCAAGGCTCACTGTATGAAAGCCTTGAGTGTACGTTAATCAACCTCTGTAATAGTGAGGTAGAACACACATTGGCGACCGCCCATGTGTTAGAGACGCGTCCCTTGGCGCTCCAGGGAGCCACTGGTTATATTTCCGCAGGGGCGCCCCTAATTCGGTTTAATTATAAAATGTCGTGTGCCACCGTGTCCCTATTGTAGGGTGCTCTTTAAGGAGGCACTCTCTGTAGAGCCCGGGGCGCTCGCTGTCGCCAACTGCCAGGGCGCCGGCGGGCGCTCATTATTCTACTTAGTGATCATTTATAGTAGCCCATCTAAACCGTAGTGTCGCCTGAGATGGGTCTTGGCCGCTCTGGGCCACTCAACCGCCGGGGAGCTGGCGGATGAACCTGGTGTAGTTTTATCACTGAATCTCAGAGGTGTAGCACCATTCCTGGCGCCTGGGGACAAATTTTCAATTTGGCGCACCCCCCCTCCCGCCGGAGACAAACTTTCAATTTGGCGCCCCCTCCCCGTATTTTTTAAATATTTATAATGCAAAACTATAGCTAAAATGAGCTTTTAAATTTTTCCAACCATTTTGGCGCCCCTAGGGTTGGCGCCCGGGGACATATGTACCCCCGCCCCCCTCGCTGCGCCTCTGCTGAATCTAGTATTACCTATGACCGCAATTGATGAGATAGCCCCTCTGGATTCCCCTCTGGATTCTGAGCTCATAATCGTATAATTAGAAAAATCGAACCCTCCCAGGGTGCCACACTTAAGAATTTTTTTCTTTCTCGAAACCCTTTTCACCAACTACCCAAAATGTTATGACTCTCGTACGAACAGTGTCAAATTGCATCTGGCTTTTATTTTTATGGAGAAAAATTGCATTGCTTCCTGTCAGAGACCCCAGATTGAATGGGGCGCCAAAAGGGGTAGACAATTTTTTAAAAAATCCTCATTCTTCAGTAAAATTTAAGAAAACAGATTTATACATGGCTGATATCCTCAATTATTTTATATAGGGGAGTGTATGTAGGGATGGGCGCCTTTTTGCCAGCGTTTGAATAGGGTTGGCACATAATTGATAGTTCGCCCCGGCTGCCGGAATAGGTTGCTACGCTTCTGCTTCCTGCTAGAGTGCCGCCCTGGCGAATTCTTTCCGGGGGGGGGGGCGTGCGGACACTGTTAAAAGTATTTTTTTCTATATAAATTCTGTTTCGTTTGGGGGTGGGGGGGGTCGATAGACTTTCTTCGGGGGGGTGGGGGGGGGGGGGCTCTGCTTTCCCCCCCCCCCCCCTCCGAATAGATTCCTGGAAAAAACTCTGTTCACAAAGTTTTATGGCGATCCGATGAAAAAGATGTAGTAATTCATATAGGACAAACAGATAAACATACTTTCATTTCTATAAATATAAATAGATATATAGGGCCTACTTTAACTAGTGTCCGCATACCCGCACCCGGAAACTTAGTCACAATTTTCTTTGTTACATTTGAACCCTTTAGGTTAATCAATATTAACAAAATTGAACAAGATGCAACAAATACAGTTAACCAAGAAATTGAACAAATAAAATTCACGTTATCTTTTTATTGTTTTTAGATATAGAGTAGTAACAGACTACCTACAGGTCCTAACTCGCGACGAGGTACACATTTGTATTAAAACACACATCTAAGACATTTTCCATTTAGGTGGGTTTTGCAGTACAGTGGTTTCTTAAGTCGTGGACAAGTGATTGCGCTTATCTCTGATGAGTAGCTATGTATTCTGTACTATATTAGATACATTTGTAAATATCTGTCACAATATGGGCATAGAGATGATATAACGATAGCTTATCTTTGCGGACGACGCTAAACTTTGGCATCGACACCACGGCCTACAAGTTCAAATTCGGTCCTTCAGAAATGTTTGAAGTCTCTAGATTAAAACTACTTTTCTCTTTTATGTACCTACTGACCACATCACATGCATTTGTTCTGAAAGTCTAAAAACAGGCACAAATATATCGTCTAGACTTGTGAGGTCTACAGATTAGGTATTTTGGCAGTTATCTAAGCCCTTGCCTGTTCTGACTCAAAGCCTTATTCTTTCTCTATCGACGCCTTGCGTAACATGGGATTGGGTTTTTAAGGCGGCATAAAGCTTTATGTTGTTCCTTTTTGAGTACACTAGATTAAAAACTAACGTTTTCAGATGCCTAAAGATGTTTAACCACTAATTAATCAGAATAATGGGTCAAGATTTCAATTCTTGGTTTTGGGACACGTTAGTTGCCGGGGTTGAGCTAATGTCGATAGCATAAGGACTGTACCTTGATGCGGGCGTTTTATTTGTTGCCCATCGTAGTAATTGAATGGTTGATGGGGCTTCTTCAAGGGTTTGATTTGCCGTAATGTTAATGATATCATGCATGTGCGGCTTTTCTAAGAAGAAAATGCGTTAAAACACTTTTTAGTTATGCTTTTTTTAAATAGGCCTATATTTTACGACATCATAATCGTAATGAAATGAATTTAAACAACTTTAGAATACACCTGTTTCGGCTAACAGGAATGTTATTCTTCAAACTAGTAATGTTAAACGTGTCTTTTTCGCATTTTCGACTTATAAGCAATACAGTAAATTCCGATAACGTCCATATGCATACAAGCAATGGCGTAGGCGAGGAGGGGTTTAATAGTGATTTAATAATGATACTTTCTTAACCCTCTACTGGACATCATGTTTGGTACCTTGCCCCCGGCAACTGGGTGGATTTGGATTACACCCAAGTTTTACTTCATAGTAAATGGCTTCAGTTTTAATTATTGGAGTTGGTAGCAACATTGACACAGTTGAAATCACATTAATTAGTATATAATTGTTTAATGTTGCTGGATATTAAGCCTGGTAGGTATTTATATTTATTAATTTGTACAGAAACAAAAAAAAAGGATTCCCAAACAAAGTTTTATTTTTCAGAAATAAAGAAAATGATACAAATCAATAAAGAACAGTTTTCAAAAGAATTTGTATAAAAGTAATTATTATAAAATAAGAATATAGCATTGCATAGATAAAAATAAAATACTTAACACAAACAATATGAGGAATATTTTTTATCAGAGAAGAGAAAAATATATGATGTAGTTTGAAAATAATAATGTACAGAATGTAGCTTTTGCAGATTAAAATGAAAATTCTCATGCCTATATAATTTATTGAGTAAATGAAGCAAGACCCAAAACAATAGGCTAAATAATATGCATGGGACAGGCATTGAAAACTACAAATTGCATATAGTGAAGGTTACCCTATTTATTGGCTATATCCACAGTAAAGATTTATGGCTTTATTACCTGCTTGTAAAATTGTTAAGGAAAAAGTAAAGTATTGTTAACTTTTTATGGCAGACCAACTACGGGCTGTGTTCTGGGAACATGTCATCTGTAAGGGGCATTGTTCTCGGCACATGTTGTCATTTTTTGTGTTCTCGGCACATGTTGCCATTTTGTGTGTTCTGGGAACATGTTGCCATTTTGTGAGTTCATGGAACATGTTGACATTATTTGGCTGTGTTCTGGGAACATGTTGCCATTTTGTGTGTTCTGGGAACATGTTGCCATTTTGTGTGTTCTGGGAACATGTTGACATTATGTGGCTGTGTACTGGGAACATGTTGACATTATGTGGCTGTGTTCTGGGAACATGTTTGTTTCATTTTTAAATATTATAATAAAACATTTTTAGAAATTCTATATTAGGAATTGTGTATATATATAAATTTATATATTTAATAAGACAATTGGATGAATTATAATAAACAGCAAAAATGATTCAAATAAGTTTAGAAGTATTTGGCTTGCTGTCCTAACAGTGAACTGTATTGCGAGCTTGTTTCCCTAGTGATAACCCATGTTTTTTGTGCGACCCTTCCAATCAAGTCTCCAGCTTTTTCTTGGCCTGTATCAAAATGCTGGTCAGACTTGCTTGACTTATGTATCACAATATGATTTTGAATGTTTTTCTGTAAATGAAATAAAGGCAAAATATTTTGATACTTTCTTTTGTGGAACTTGCAAGAAAAATAAATTACAAATTTATATTACTATCTCTAATATTTCTTTACTATAACTAATTACTTTGAAAAGATAAAGCACTGAACATGATGAATAACAAGAAACAAACATTATCAGCAAAGATTATAGATTTAAACTTGTGTTCATTCTTATTGAAGATTAATGAAGTAGACTATCAATATTTACCCTCTTGATGGCTGATACTTTGATTTGATGTCTTTACTTTAAGCTTACACATCAGTCTCTGTGTGGTAAAATATGAAATAATATGCTTCAATAAAACTGTTTCAGTATATTAATTATATTAGATAAGTACATAGTTTTGAGCTCTATAACAATATGTGTTTCAATTATCATTCAAATATAATACCCTCTATGTTGTACACTCACTGATTTATTAGAATTTTAAAAAAAGACAATAATTAATAAAATATTTTGGATTAAAATCCATTATATTTATTATAACATACAATGCTATCTCTTGCTATAATAATTACTTTAAAAAATGGGTTATGCCTATAGTACAGTTACCTGAGGATGAAACTAGGCACAGTGTATAGTCCACGGAGACTGATTAATATCCCTTGTAATTGAACATCAGTTGTAGTTATGAAATCTGGATGGCCAAACACACACTCATAGTCCTGAAAAGCAATTTACACATAGATTAGCAAGAATATCTCACAAATTATTAAATTAAAGCTAACCCCTATTTAGTGCAATCCATCAAAGTAGTAGCATTTTTCGTTAAGTTGTAGACACAATACAAAGTAATGTTTGGTCTGTGATTTACATACTTTTATAAAATAGCAATCAAATTATATATATATATATATATATATATATATATATATATATATATATATATATATATATATATATATATATATATATATATATATATATATATATATATATATATATATATATATATATATATTCATTGTAAATTTTAGCTATGTCTTGCTATTAAATTTATTTACTCGACTGATCTAAACTCACTTTATTTAAACATAATATAGTGGATAAGTATAGTGATTTTATTATTCAGCAATAAATAGCAGCCCTAAAAATTTTTAAATAGTAACGTTTGCGAATGAACACATTAAATTCTATGTATTTCCATTTCTATGTCTTTCCCAACTTGATGCATATTACTAACCAAGCATTAAACTATAGTCCTAAACCTGACTCTAATTACCATTTATTGGACAACCTGAACCTTTGCGATACCATGTTATAATATATTATTTTAAAAAAAGAGCTTACCACTAATTAGTGAAATCAATTGTTTTTAGTATTAACTGAGCCGCATACTATCTGCTGCTATTGTCATCACCAGAAATCCAGTATGTTGGCAAAGATTAGTCTCTAGGTTCCCTGCAACCTCTTTCCTCTCGAGTGCGGAAAACACTGAAATCATTAATCATTATTTCATTATGCCTAATAGTTTAAAGGTACTATTAAAGTAGTACTAAATAGTACGAGTCTAAGTTACTATAGGTCTAATGATAATTATTATTGTGTATGCTTACATGCTTTAAGTTTTATGCACAATATTGGTATATAATATATAGTCTATAGTATATAGCCTAAGCTATAGAGTATATAGGCCTATGAGCCTAAATATAACAGCAGCTTGAATAATGCTCATTAGCATGCATTCACTATAAACTATAAAGATAATCAAATATTTCAATTTAATTAAATTATAACTAATAGGCCTAATAGTAAATAGCCTTTTTTTATTGTGGCAACAAATTTAAAGTATAGGGCAGTACAGTTATAGTATAGGCCTACTAGATTCTATATTTAAGTATGTGGGCTTTTCATTCCAATGCACCACAATAGATACCACACATGATCAAGCTGGACCTCTGATCTAAAGATTTAATAATTGGGCCTAACAAACAGTGAAACTACAATAAAAATCATGTAAATTACTAATTTAACCTTCTTACCTCAGCTTCTCTAGATTCCTATTCTATTTCCTTCAAACTTTCTTTTTATGCAGCCGTATGATTAGATTCTAGACTATATTCTAATAAACATGAAATAACTACTAACCAGAACACTAGATCTAAATTTCTATATTCTATGCAATATGTATTAAACCTATAGGACTAATATTTATTTTAAATTCCTATGCGATGTGTCGTGAACTGTAGGTTTCATGTTATTTTTTTAATGGCGGAAATCAGTTTAAAATTTCGTTTCCTTCCTTTTGTTATTCTATTTATAGATTCAAACTGCTTAGAGACGGAGCAATTATCATTGAATTAGTCGGCCGATCCACACAGGAAGTGCGGGTATATCTATTAGTTACTCAGTGATCTGATCATTGACAAAAACAGAGATAGCCATTCGCATGGGGTGCTCTCACTCTCTCTCTCTCTCTCTCTCTCTCTCTCTCTCTCTCTCTCTCTCTCTCTCTATATATATATATATATATATATATATATATATATATATATATATATATATATATATATATATATATATATATATATATATATATATATATTCATTCTTTCTCGAATATTAACACATTTTAAAATATTAAAACGAATTTCTTTTTTTTCTTTAAGGTACTAGACTTCTTTAATTTGCAACGTTTGAACAAATTGCTTTAAACTCACATGTTCATAATGGCCGAAGAATATGATAGATCGCATACTACTCTTGAAAACTTACACAATCTACTAATTGAGGAGGATTTACTGGACTTTACTGTACAAGTTGAAGATGTTGAAATTCGTTGTCACCGTGTCATTCTGGCTGGGTCATCACATTTCTTCAGAGGGCTTTTAAGGTCAGATATGAAGGAAGCAAACATCGGTTGTGTATCTCTAAATGGGATATCACCCTTAACATTTCAACAGATTTTAATTACAATGTATTCTGGAAAAGTTATTTTAACGTTAGATAATTATATAGACATATGGAAGGCGGTGGATCAGCTGCAAATAGGCTTTATGATAGAAGATTGTGAAACGTTTGCCTTAAAAGTAATGTCAGAAGAGAACTTTATGACAACTTGGAAGTTAGCGAAACCATTGCAAAAAAACGCAATTGTAGAGCGATGTGAGGAATTCGCTCTCAAAACCTTGTCAGTTAAAAACTTTGAAAGCATTTCTAAAACAGCTGAAGAAGTGAAATCTAAAAAGGTAGTTAACGCGTGTAAAAGTTTCATGTTAAATAACTTTGATGATGTAAGTCACACGGCGACTGTAATGGGGCTTCCTTTTGAAGAGTTCCTCAGTTTGATTGAGAGTCAGGATCTTAAAGTGAGTTCTGAAGACTTGGTTCTAGAAAGAGTGGTACAATGGGTCAAGTATGTGCCACAAAATTATGAGCAGGGTGCAATTTTTAGAATGAGTTTAAATAACGATTTTCAAGTGGATAAAAATATTGATGAAAATTCCGATATAGATAAGGATGGAGATTCTGATGTAGTTTCTGATTGTGCCAAACAAAGTATAGAGGAAATTAATAATGTATTAGAAATCGACAGTAGGATTCAATTGTTGACAAAATTATTGAATTCTGTGAGAACGTCACTTGTGAGTATTCCGACATTGCAATTGATTGCATTGATGATATTGTGTTTAAATCGTTCTGTTGATTGTTTTATTTCCATTTTAGAGCATTTTAACTATGTTTGTTATTAATTGTTTTAAAATCTATATAACTTAAATTTTAACATACAAGGTCAAATAAATTGGTTTTTGTTGGTGGATTGAAATTTTTGTGTGTTACATTTAAAAATAATTACTAAAACGTAAAAAACAAATTTTGGTCAAAATAAATATGAATCAAGTTTATATTTCATGCAATGTTATTTTATCAACAACCAAATCTCTGTTTGGCTGCTAGCAAAGTTCAAAGATTACTGGATAAACTTTCGAAACAGGGCAGTCCCAAAATTTGACATGCTATACTGCATCCAAGATTTAGTTTAATGTATATGTATGGAAGTCGTTTCATGGACAAAGTCTGTACAGCTTTGGCGTTTTTGAATGCGAATTGTGTGGTACATCGACTTGTGAGAATGAACTTTCGACAACACCTAGTAGATGACCCGCCTGAAGTGAAAAGCTTAAAGGAAGTTCCTAGACACTTTGTTTATATTAAGTATTGGGGTGGTGACGGTATTTATTCTAATTTTATTCCAACCATTCCACGAATTATTTGTCTCAGTGAAACCAAAACGTTTACAAATTAACAATCGTTAATAAGTATATATATATATATATATATATATATATATATATATATATATATATATATATATATATATATATACAATTACAATAACTCAGCTATAGACAGCAACATTATTTACACTTCTAACATTGCTTTTATTTTTCTCGAAGCCAGAACTCAAAGATAAAATAATAGTGGAAAAGTTCATTTAATAAAGTTTTCAAAACACAATAAAACGAGACTACCTCGGCGTCTCTAAACCTAGAAAACCAGCTATGTTAGACCTACGCTGTTAACTGGTGTTACAACGAGTAGGCCAACAGCCAAAACAAATATTCGCTAAGTTGAGAATGATTGAATATACAAGCCTATCTAAGAATTAAGAATTTTAAATAGTGCAAAAAACGTACACGTTAAAATAATTTCAGAAACAGCTGTTGTTTTTTTATTAGAAAATAGGAGATAAACACAAATTCCCAACAAGTATTGCAGCATTAAAAAAATCATGATCTAAAACAGAAACTCAAGCCGCCCAGCTTCTTCAACTGGCTTAACAGAACACGTATTCTAAGAACTAAACATGTCTTAATCGAAAGTGTGGTGTGAATTATGTTTTAAGGTAGAGGTCAATTTTGACACAAGTATGGTCCATGTGTCGCCTCCTAAAGTTCACGTACGTCTAATAAAACAAAAAGAAATTTGTGATTTAATGTTTTAATAGCCAGCTGTGATAAACTATGCAACTTCAGAATATATATATATATATATATATATATATATATATATATATATATATATATATATATATATATATATATATATATATATATATATGTATATATATATATATATATTAACGTATACATGTTATTTTGAAGTAAACTATACAAAACTTTTCAAGCTTCAGATAACAAGTTTATGTTGAACGCTTGCCCTTTGTGTTAACTTCTTTGAATACTGAAATAAACATGTCTGCATTTCTAAATTGCATACCATTACATTTTATTTACAACAGTAATTGTTGGAAACAATGTTTTTATCTAAGAAGAGTATTTTATTTGTAAAGGAATATCTTACAGTTGCACTACAAGCTTGACTCAAGAGCATAATAAAAATGTTCTCTAAACAGTCTGCAAAAATTAACGCCAAAAATTTAGTAAAATAGACATAGTAAAATTATTAATTCGGTACTTTTTAAGGGGCGCCCTATTTAAATCTATAGACTCTCATTGAAATTATTTAGTACTAGTCGGGTTAAGCTGAGTATAAAATACTATTTTTATCCACGCTGTATCTTTAAATTACGACTAATGTAAAGTAAAAAATAAAGTTCACCTTCCAAACCTGACGGTTTATGGGGCAAGTGAAGTAGACATCACCTGTTTCTATAACCTCGGCATATAAAGGGATAGTGTGATCAGCACTATGCCCAGCCGCCTTTACTTTCCCTAGCTCCCTACCGCTCGACCACTACGTCCCTTGCGACTGGTGTAGACGTAATTTATCTTTTAATTACAGTGACA